TTCATTGGAGAAGTGTCTGTTCATGTCTCCTGTATTTTTTTTATTTTTTTTTAAATTTTTCATTAATTCACTTGCCCCCTCCCCCTGCATTATGATCAGGGAGTGTGATCTGCATTTTAAAAAAATATTTTTTTACATTTATTGAGATATATGTGCCTAGTACGTTATTAGTTTTATAAATGTTACCTGGATTTTGAAAAATATATATTCTTTCATTCTAAAAAAGAAGTTATTTTGTAAGGTTCTATAAATATTAATATTCATTTTATGTTATATTTTTAAAAACCAGGTTTTTTTTCTTTTTCTTACATTTATCTGGTATGTCTTTGTCCCTATTGTTGCTCTGTTAGTCCAGCCCACTGTTGTACTGCAGGAGTTGTGATAGAAACCATTTTAAGCTCAAAGTATTAATTGGACTATCTATGGTGTATAATCTTTATATATATACATAGAGTGTAGAATGCAGTGCAAAGGTGCTCAAAAATATTTGTTAAAAGGATTAATGAATAAAATGGAACAGCATGCCTAATCAAAGCAATTCAGTTCTGACCTATGTATGTTGGCCATTTTCCATTTGCCATATTTTTTTATTCCTGTTTGCCATTTGAGATCAATATCTAATTTTCAGCAGGAATTTCTTAGGGACAGAAATATATCATTGACCACCTCTTTTTTCTGCTTTTCTATCCACCCAAATTCTGATTAATCATTTACTAAGAGTACAGAAAACCCATAGAAGAATTGTTCTTATCCACAACTAAATTAAAGGAACTTATGGAATATTGGTTTTCTCAAACTCCCAGAAACATCCTAAAGCCAATCCCCTAGGGGAGCCCAGTAGAGCTCACAAACAGCCTGGGATTGGGTAAAGGGGTGTCAGTGGTCTGCTCTTCTTAGAAACACCCAAGGGCCCAGCCTTGTGGGGATTTGTCTGGCCTCATTTATGGAGCAAATCTAGCCTCGTCCAGAAAGTTCTCTTTTTCCTAAAGTGAAACTTCTATCTTCAGACTTACATCAGCAATTTTGTTCTTTTTAAGGACACAGTCCCGTTTAATCTCTGCCAACCCCAGTGACTTAGGCATAATTCGAACCTGTCATATGGTGCTGATATACAGAAGGTTTGGTCTGGCTGCTAATACTGGCAAAAGGAGTTGAGTTTTTCCCAGTAGGATGAACATTCTGCACTTAATGAAAGCAAGATTCTAAAATTGGCTTCTCCTTTACAACATCTAGGTCTTGTAAAATTACATACAGCTTGGGGACCACTTAGATGATATATGGGGGGGCATTTACTTTATACAGAGAAATCTCCTTGGTGACTCTGGTTGAGGCCCAGGCCTAACAGCTTCCCATAAATCTTACCCGAGAGAGACCAAATAAGCTGTTGCCTTCAGTGTGACTTAATCACAAAGATCTGATCAGGTACCAGTGACTTTCAGATGGCCATTTATGGAACTCTCTCCACGGCGTGCTAAACAGGATACGCTACTCACCAGATAGCTCATTTGTATTCTCCTGGAGTGAGAAAAACATTGTTAAGGACCCCATTTTAAACATCTCTTCAAGAGAAGGGCCTCCCAGTTTGGATTTGAAATGAATCAAGGAAGCTGGACCTATACATTCGGTGTCATTGATGTTTTCCATTTTGTTTCTTCCTAACCTAAGCAAAATAAAAAAGCTTTGCCCCTCTAAATTGTAGGCAATATTAAAGGTTACAATAGATTGAAAAAGAGAACTTCATAAAAAATTCTACTTCTAGGAATTTAATCTACTAAGACACTCTTTTTTTAAGCCAAGCTGTAAGACATCTTCAGTCAGCATTTTTTTAAATCAGAAAAACCTGGAAATTGCTTAAATGCCAGTTAACAAAGGGCTACTGAAATACATTGTAGACTGTATTGGATATATATAAAATCCAGCAGAATTGGATGCTATGCCACTGCTAAACAGAATGAGGTGGGTCTATTTGTGCTAATATGGGAAGCTCTGCAAGACATCTTATTATGTGAAATCAAGCCAGGTGAGGCGCTTCAGGTAGTGATTGCATGATCTCCCCATAAAAATTTGTGTGTGCATGTGTTTGTATATATATATGTACATGCATATTTTGACACAGGAGAAAAAATGTTTTCTAGAAGAACTCTAAGAAATGACTAATAACCTGGGTGACATGAGGAAGTAGAATATTACTTTCATTGTATAACTTTCTGTACAGCTTGAATTTTTCATTATTTACATGAATTATTTTTTATTAAAATATGTTATCAGGTATTATCTATGTGGTAGGTACATTCTTTATCAGTACAACTTTTATAATTTTTGGCATTAAAGAAACACTGGCAAATGTTAATTTGCAGAACCACGTTCATGGGAATAGTCTTGACAACAACAAGTAAGGTGGTTAAATTTCAAAGTTTGATTTTTTTAAAATAACTTATAAATGATAAACTCTAGTCTAATAGAAATGATCTTGTACAAGAAAACTTTTAATCCAGTATGTGAAATAGGCTCTGGAATCCAGTTGAAACTGGGTGGAGAAAGTTGTTTCAAAGTGTAATAAATTAGAATTACTATTTTTTTCAAGAAAAAAAAAAAGAATTACTACTTTTTCAAAGAATACTAGAAAAGAACTTTTGAAAAATATTGATGCAAGGTGATTTCAGGAAAATACATAAAATGAATGTGCAAAAACTTAGATAAGTTTTGTTTTCTGGTATTTTCTGTGGTTGCACACATATTTTTTTAGAAATGTTTGTTAAGTTTAAAGATTTTCTCAAAGATGTTATTCGCCACGTTTTTAAAGAGATAGCACCAGATGAGGACACTGGAACGGGTACTAGATATTTTCTTATCATGAAGTAGTAGGTTAAGTTATTCTGCATTTCCTTTTCTCTACCTGATCATTTCAATTCTGTGCTTAAAAGTACTTGAATCCAGCCCTGAACATCCAATTACTACACAGTGACACTCTGTTCTCTGTAACCTCATGCAGCACATGACAGAGAATGCATAGCACTCCTACTCCCCTCAGATTTAACTAAAAGTGGGATGGAACTTTATTCTGGTGTATATCACTTCCATAAAATTAATGATCACCTCAAAAATGGTTCTAGTCTACATTCTACAGGATCTGTGAATTAATTTTCACTCAGCTTAAGGTTTTTCTCTGATTAAAAATAGACTTTTCCATTTTCCTTAAACTTAAATTTCAAAGAAAAGTTGCTGTGATTCTCAGTAAGAAAGAAGTGGGTCAAATTAGCTTTTGTGAGGTCCGAAGACCTTTAGCGGCAGATGGTGAGAGAGAAGGAGGAAGTGGGATGTCTTACTGTGGACAGGGACACCGGGCTTCCATGAAACCAAGAATTCTGTACCTTTTCTCAGAGTTCCAGGAGACTTAAAAGCATTCTTTTCTTAGCAGATACTGCTTCAGATGGGTGCCAAGTCCCAACTATATTTATTCGGACTGCTTAATGTGCATGGTCAAATTGAAGATCAAATTCCATATTAATTACAGGAAGAATATTTGACTTTTTTTTTTTTTTTGTAGGAGTTGACTTGCTATAAATGCATTTCAATTAAATATACCCAAATATTTGCTGACGAAATACCTATTCGGGTCATAGCTGAGTCTCTTCCGCATCAGACCTCCATCCACTCCCTGTTATTTCACTGAATGTGCTTTCCATTGCTTCAGTGGCGACTCATTACGTTTTATGAATTTTCTGGAAGACGTTTTCCTCTAACTGGGTTCTTATGGGTCTCCTTGGAAACTTGCTCCTGAATTTAATTCCTCTGCTTCATGCCAGTTGAGTTTTCATTCTAGTCCAGACATGTTTGAAAAACAGTTTCAGGGCTTAACCCTCTGTGGCCTGTTTTGGTCCTGATAAAACTTCTCAGTACTTCAGTTTGAACCAACCCTTGCTCTGCTCCTATTCCCATCTGCTACAAGAGGCTGTGAATCTCCATCTGAAGTGGGAATTTGTTTGGCCCGATGAAGCTCCTTTAAAAGCCCCGGAAGTTCCTGTGTTTTCCTGTGTTTATTGTCTTTCAACTTTGAGGTCTCCAGGCTTGCTTACCTCCCATGACCTTGTGTCCCTGTGTCTTCTTGGATGTAAACAGTTTCACAGCAGCAAAGCTGCAGCTCTCCGTGACTTTGGCAGCAGGGAGGTGAGTCATGGCTTTTGGAGAGAAATCTTTTTGAATACATTTTCCATCACATCTCCTGGCCCCAAAAGGGCTGCTATTAGCAGCAGTCAGACATGTCATTTCATCTCCACATGATCTTATTTTTAGATGAGTATCTTCAAAAAAGCAAACTGAATGATATTTGCCTTCATCTTTCAATTATCTTTCATTCCTTATTCTCATCATAAATAGACTTCCATTTTCCCACATCTTTGGGGGTATGTCTTCATATTTAGCCTTTTCTCAGAAGAAAGATATTTCTGACATCTTCTTCCACTAGCCATCGACCTAGGTCTCTCACATCCCCATCCCAAATTTTTAGGAAAGAAGCACAGGCTGGTTTCTGCACCCAAACAGCCCTGCACAGAGAGACAGGGTCCGCTGACTTCCACCCTTGGCCCACCTGCCTTCTGCCATCTACCCCTGTAGCTTCCAGGCAAACTGTCCAAGCAGAGACCCGTCATAGATTCCAGGAAGGAAAGAGAGCTGGGCTCAGGGTCAGGGTGACACCCAGAAGATACTAGTTCCCTGAGAATAAGGACCCTTTTACAGCAGGCTGCCTTTACACAGTCTGAATGTGGCTTCCTGGGGTGCCCCACTGACCAGAAACAAGCCTGGGTCAAGGGGAGAAGTCCATAATGAAGCAAGTAGTGCTTCTCTGCTGTTCCATTAGCGGATTGGCTTTCCCAGTGTAGAGGACTGGACATTGCTTGCTAATCACCTGGAGGCCAGGATTTGCAAACCTGATGCGTGCCAATAAAGGGCAGTCCTGTTTCGCTAGGACTGCTTGCTTATTTATTTATTTATTTATTTATAAAAATATGGGACGCTTCGTGGGATTGCCTGTCATTCTTGTACAGGGGCCATGCTAATGTCTGTATCGCTCCAATTTTAGTGTCTGTGCTGCTGATGCGAGCACCCTAGTCCTGCTTTTTAAAACATCATTTGAACTTGAACTCCTTCTCTAGCTTGCCTTCGCCCCAGCGGCTCCCGGTGCTGCCGGCTCAGTGTCGGAAGATTCCAACCTCTGAGACTCAGCAAGCGCCCATCGAGGACCCCCTGAGCTCTGTGTTAAGCACTACGGGGAGGACTCGGACAGATGAGGCAAAGGCGGCAAGCTCCTCCTTAGCGAGGTGTCATGGGACATAGGATCTCCAGGAGATAAAGCAGGAGATATGTAAGCAGCCAAGTGAACGTAGTTTTAGACAAACGGATCAATGTTGGCCAACAGAGCTGGGGGAGGCGTCTTTGTCTTGTGTATGAATAAGGGATTATTGAAAGGCAGGGAGGGTTTGTGGAGAGAAAAGAGCAATCAGAGATTCCGGAGCCAAGATGTAAATCTGGGCAAGCCCTCAGGGGGCAGGAGGAAGAGAGGATCATCCCATTCTAGGTTTGTGTTGAAGCAGCAGTGAGAAGCTGTGTCTGACTCCAAGAGCTGCAGATTACTATCTTATCGACAGTGGCTTTAACTCCCCATCTCCTTTAATGCTCTTGTAGTCAATATTTAGATAGTATGATTTTGTCTCTGCATTGCCCAAGTGGCCAAGTGGCCAAGTTGGACTGCTAGGAATGGGTCCTCCAGACCACATCAGCCAAAGCAGAACTTCGGATACATTTTTCTTTGATCATCTCCTGTTAGAATCCTCTTGATTTTCACAATGCAGAGTGAAACCCGGCAGTCTTCTGTAGCCATGCCACGGATCATCAGGTACATGAAAGACTTCGTTCTAGAGCCTGAGCCATACACTGAGCCTGCCCTAGATCAAGTCTAGCAGCAGAGATCATGTAAGTGTCAAATGACTAGAATAATCAAGTTAGGGTTAGTTTGTTATTTTGTATAGCATGTACTGAATTTCTCAAACAGGGTAGTTTATTTTTTATAATCAATCATTGCACTAAACCAACGTATTGATAATCAGGTTTGTTTCAATGTGTTATTACTTTACAGGTTAATTGTTGGAACAGTTAACCAGCAATAACAGGAGGCATCATTCACCTTCTCAGCCACTAGGCTAATCTGGCTATTCACAATTATGGAAAAATATTTCTTTGGAAAAATATTGGTAGCTTCTAGCAGTTAAAAGTTTACGTCCCTTCCCCTAGACAAGCTCACCACCAAGACATATGTTTAGATGAAAACAAAACTCAGACCACATTCTGCCACCTACACTCAAACATGTACTAGCAGGTAAGCCCAGAAAAGTCATTCAACCTCTTTGCCCCAGTCTCTAGTCTTTTTAGGAACGCTGACAAGCCCCTTGCAGGAAATATTCAGTTTGATATGGTCACCACGAAATTTTGACATCAGAATCAGGTGACAGGTAACAGAGACGGCCTTCCCTCCTCCCATGGTTGGGGACTGTGGGGCAGAATTCTATCCCTAGGGCATTATTCCAGAAGCTGTTGGACTGCTGGGACTGCCAGATCAAAGAAGGAGGTGCCAGTGGAAATCTTCTTAGCCAACGACTTTTCACACCACTCTTTTCTCCGGAGCAAACTTACTTCTAACACTCCCTGTGGTAAGGAACGCACCCTCTGAGGCAAATGGAGTTAGGGTTATTGAAGCCTTTGCTTTTGTTTTTTTTGGAGCCTGAATTCCTTATAAGAGTTCTTTATATGTTAACCAACAACTGTTGACTAATCACCCAAGAGCACAGATGAAAGTAAAGTATAATCAGAGATATCATCTGGTTGGCCTATATTTTAGGTTCTCTCCCTTTAATCCCCAACAGCTGTCCTAAAGCCACCTCCACTAAAAATAGAACCTAAGTCCGAGAGCATACTTGCTACATACATGCAGCTTCAAAACCCTCCGGCACCTCTCAACCCCTCTCTAGTCTAATGAGATCACCACCATTGAATTACTCCTCTGGAGAAATACAAGAGCCACTCCTGCTGGAACCCAGATCACAATGATTGATTTCACAGAGACCCAGAGACAGCTACTTGGATCCATATATAGTAGACATTGTGCCCCTTCAGGAAGGAAGGAAGGACTTGTTCCCTGAGCTGCTAAGAGTTCTGCTGGAGGCAGGCTGAACCTCTCAGACCCTCTGTGAATCGCCCAGGCTTGAAGACAGCTACTTTACCCAAGGTTGCTTCCCAGGGTTGCAAGTTCCTGTGACAATGGGCATCCAGACTGGTCAGTACTGAGATATAAAAGTCTGCTCCCTTGGGGCACCTGGGTGGCTCAGTGGGTTAAGCCTTTGCGTTTGGCTCGGGTCATGATCTCAGGGTCCTGGGATAGAGCCCCACATTGGGCTCTCTGTTCAGCAGGCAGCCTTCTTCCCCCTCTCTTTCTGCCTGCCTCTCTGCCTACTTGTGATCTCTCTCTCTCTGTCAAATAAATAAATAAACTCATAAAAAAAAAAAAAAAAAAAGTCTGGCCCCTTGTCTTAATACCTTCGGTCTGTCCCAGCTCCAGAACTCCCAGCCTCCCCCGCTGCCCAATCCTGCCTCCTTCCCTTTGCCCACTTCCTACACACTAAACTCCATCTCAGAATCTTGTTCTTTCAGAATAATTTACTATAAAATCATAGGTTTGCAGGGGCGCAAAGGACTTAAAGCAGGGTACCAAACAGGACTGTGTCTTCTGGGCTCCACACCATCCATACTGTCTGTTCTGGGGATGCCTGCAACCTGCTTCAGGACCCTTGTCTCTAGGTTTGACTCATTCATTCCCTGTTCAAAAGATTCCCTGTTCAAAAGATGATCTTAAGGCATCATGTCTTAAATTCCATTTTCATTTGTATTGAAGTTACATAGACCCTTGGTTAAAAGAAATTTATTTGACAGAGGCTGCTGGCTGAGCTACTTCCAGGTCGTGTTCCTGTCAAGGTATGCACAGGTGCTGTCCTGACCCATTGCCCCCTCCCCCTGGCTGGTGTCACAAGAACCAGAATGGCTGCTGTTGTCCCCGAGATGGAAGCTCCATTTGGGGATCATAAAGCCACCCTTTAATCCAAATTGCTTCTCTCTGGACCATATCAAACAAGAGCAAGGTATACCTAAATCATTTAAGCATTTGTATTTTGAGGTTTTTGTTTGTTTTGTTTTTCATAAATGCAGCACAGCCTGTATTTTCATCCTTTTAGCTTGGTTGTTTTTTGAGTCGTCTTTTCTTTTTCCCAGAAACAACCATAATAGGTTTAAATAACATATTTTTATCTGATATATCATCTTTAGACCTTCTCTACTGAGTCTCCAATTTGGATATGACTATTCTGCTCTTTCTCCTTCTCTCCCACCCGCCCCATCCTGCTGCATACCTGCTACCTTCTCCCCTCATCCTCCAAAATAGTTATGTCATCATTTTAAATAGATAAATACTAAGTGGTTGTATCATTATGACAATACAAATGGTATCCCAACTGATCTCTGCAGTGCCTTATGGATGCTTTTCCTTTCTTAAATACTTTCTTTGTCCCAGAGATGATACTGAGCTATTTATTTTTTTTAAATGTTCTTAGCTTCCCATTGACTTATCATTAATTCAAACCTAACACTCCCCCAGTTGTATGATCTCCTCTGAATATGTTCAAATGTACTTGGGATGCAGTCAATTTTATTTCCTTGAAGAACTATTCCCAGGGTCTTCTGACCAGCTCCATCTGGACTAGCTGTTCACTAAGCCTCAGGTGTGTGTCTGATCAGCCATCTTTAACTGGACATCAGTTACCAGTTCTACCACTTTGGATTGATTGCTCTGCATGTCTTAATCCTTTCTATAGGTTAGAAGGGCTGCTCTGGCTATGTGATAGAGCATGCCTCCGACCTGGGAGGGCTCTGTAAGCAAATATTCTCCGTGGTGGTGGCTTCCTTCTGACAGTAGTGGCAACCTTCTGCACAGGGAAGACATTGCAAATCTCCAAGATGGATCAGTGTCTTCCTTTTTGGAGTTGAAACTCAAAACTCTTCCTGCATTAGGCAAAAAAATTAACAGCCTCCTAAAATACCCTCTAACTCAAGGTCATATGTTTAATTATTTCAAATTCAGTATTGTTCAGGCTACCGCATTGCACAGGGATACTGACCAACCTTCAACTTGACAACAGCCCCAGATATTTTGGGTATGGTACTAAGGCATAGTTTTTTGGCCTTTGTCCAAGTTCAAGTATAACTCTTACCAAGAAGTCCTGGAATCTAAAAAACCAAGTTTAGAACTTCAGCAGAACCCCCTTCCTCGTGTTCTTTTGCTGCCAACACTGCTAATCACCCCCCCGCCCTGACCCCTCTGAGCCCCTGCCAGGGAATTCTGGGAAGTCAACTCACCTTGGCATATTTTATTATTACGAGATGAAAGCATTGCAGGGAGGTCATCTGCCCAAAAATGGGTGGACACTGGTCCACTATTGTCAGTCTCATTCTCCCCTCAGTTATCTTTCCTAAATTCTAGTACAGTTTTGGATGATTGAATAACCAGTGTGGTCTGATGAAAGCTTGTCACCTGAGAGTAGCCAAGGAGAGCAGAGTGAAGATCACTGCTTCTCACTGGGGCTGATATGAAGCTAAACCAGTCAGTGCTGCTTCCTAAAACACACACACACACACACACACACACACACACACGCACACCCCCAAACAGCAACACAAAATCCATATTTGATCATTTCAATCTGGCTATTGATAAAAATTTTGAAAAAAATTTAATGTAAGGAAATTAAGAGTTGAATTCCAGGGAATGTAGGCAGGCATTTCTAAACAGAAGTGTCTTTGAAATTTGTGCTTTTTAATTTGCAATTATCACCACACATTTCTGAACCCATGCTAGGTGTCAGCTGCCACATACACAGATGACTAATGACAAAACAAGGTAAAACACATTAGCCAACAGGAAGTGAGGGGGGACAGTAGAGAGGTAGGGAGTTTACTTATACCTTCAAGAAAGGATAGCTTATATACTGATAAAAAGGAGTAGGC